TCGATTTATGGTCGCCCTCGTCCTCCGCCTCAGCGCCGCACAGTGGATCGAGTCAACAGGAGTGATCGGACAAAATTTGGAAACATTAAACGCTTAAAACTCCGTTCATACATAATTTTGAGGCTCTAAAAGTGGTTCTATTGGTTTCCTCGTAAAATTTTCTTCTATAGACACCCCTTAAAATTCAAAATGTGACAGACTAAACATCAAAATTTACAGTTTTAGTCAAAAATTGTATGTGCGACCTCTCTGATTGACTCAATCCACTGTGCGCCGCACGGTGGAGCTCTTCCTTTGACTTGCTCTAACACCATGTGGAAACGTTCAAATGGACGTATTTATGCCAAAAGGAACTATGTGCATAGGGATTGCGTGAGACATAGTTCCTTTTGGCATAAAAACGTTTCAAATCTGATATCGTTGCTCCTCTGACCTAAGGGCGTACCTCAGTTTCCATTTGAGATTTTCCAAACTCGTTTTCCTCTACTAAATTAGTTTTTTTTTAGTAAAAACTTTTATTATTTTAGACAATTTTTTGACCTCCCATAAAATTAACATTAACGAATTTCGTTCAATTCAAAAATCATCCTCTCTCAGAATTTTCAACCGCTTTCAAACTATCCGGTAATTTAGGCACTACTTCCTGTCAGTCTCTCTATGTATGGTAGCTTAGGTCTAGTTCAGCAGACTATTTCTTAGGACTCTTCTTAACACTGAAATTTCAGATGAGGACGCATTAAATAAACATCTGACGAAGGATGGTAATGCAATTTTACAGGAGAAGAATAAGGAGAGGAAGAAGGAGATAGGGAAGAAGAAGAAAAAGAGGAGGAGAAAGAAACAGATGTAAAGACCTCTTAAAATCAAGTCGCCTCTTCTAAGTGTGCCACAACAGAAAATTAAAGTCTTTACGTGTACAAATGACAGAAACATTCCAGCTGACCTAGTAGCAGAGTATTCTGTTATCAATACCGAACATTCCTTTGCATGTAAGCCTTCGATACTATCTCCAGAGGGGCAGGTCATCAGAAATTACAAACTCTATTTGAAAATCCACTCTGCATAATCATGATCCAACTTAATAACTTCTTTCATGTTCTCGCGGAACCCGAGTACCCCCTTTAGAATTTAATCCCTGGCTACTGAAAGAGCCCTCACTTGAGAAACATTTCTCCTGAGCAGCATTCTGCCTAAGTATGGTGTTGCAGGGGCCAGGACGAATAAAAACACAGAGGAACTGGGCCCTCTTTCATGTTTCGGCTCGCAGGGCTACGTCCCGACGCTCAATGGACCCTCCAAAGGATCTCGGGCTTGATGCGCTTTCAACCAAAGGCACAAGCTGGAAGATTGAAACCTCCCAGAAACATAGTTGTCGGATGCTCCATGAAATTGGTTCATTCCACGTTGTTCGCACAGAAAATGAAATTTTTGCAGTGGCGTGGCGTACTTCGCCATAGATCGCTTTATCTGTCAATTGGGGGGCTTGGAGGATGAGGCGCAAAGGTGCAGTTTTTTGGAAAAATGGAGGTATTCATGATTTCATGTAAAACTAGTCTTAATGCATATTCTGTGAAAAATTCCCTCCCATATTCCGATTCTTCAGCATCAAAAAGTCGGTTTGAACTTTCTTTCCACCATAAGGATCTATGTAATTTCGAAACCTCGAACACGTATTTCTCGAAATAGCAAAAACTGTACTTATGCGCATTTTCCTCCAAGTCTCTCATTTAAACCTGGTGAAAATGATCGATAAATAGGATGTTTGCGACGAACACTTTATGAGGCGATTCTTTACCATAAAGTCAAATGGGATAAAATATCGATAATCGATCGTTCGCGCTTTGCCTATGGCCTGTTGCGCAAAAGCAATACAGCCAACAGCACGAACGGAATTATTAAACGTAAAATCGCACAAAAATGACGTTTAGCGCACACACACGATGGACCACTCGACAAGGCACGAATATAAGCGTTCTGATATAATTTTTCCTCTTTCACATTTCGAGTAAATCGCGGGCTGATAAATTACCTGAAATTTTCAATACTCGATTCTGTGTCTAGCACATCCCTGGAAAAAAAGTCGCTTGCATCTAAGGTCCAGTTACACGTTCAGATTCAGCCATCAAATTGGGCCTCTCATTGGTCGCATCCTCACCTCAGGTCTTTTTCCACCAATCAGAGCTTCAATTTGATGGCTCAATTTGATTGTGTAACTGGACTACTAGAGTTTAGACTCTTAATAACATTAACAAGAAGAAATACTCTTGGTTCAATCCGATTTTTCCTTGAATCGAAGAGCCAAGCCTCTTGATTTAGGCAGATTTCCTTCTGATTCAAGCAAAAAGTCCGATTGAATCAAGAAAGTTTTTTTCTTGTCAATGTTTTTAAGAGTCTGGACTCTAGATCCAAGCGACATTTTTTTCCCCCAATGTAATTGACCAACTCACGATTCCTAGCGGTTGGATGTTCCTGTTCTGGGCAACAGTCTCATTTCGTGCTTTATTTCGGATATTTGGAGGCTACGCTGCATCGCTGAGTTCCTTGAATGTAATTTAATTAGTTTCAAACCAAATCCGTTTTGGAATAAACTTCCCGCGAGCGAGGGGCAAAGCTCAATTTTCGCGAGAGCAATAGCTCAATTTCCCGGTCTGAATGGTCGCAAACTATCGACCCATTTCGAATGAATGGCGATGGTAAAATCTCCTAATTACCCGGGTCCCGGCCGTTACCTCCTCGCTTTCCTCTTAGAAAGACTTAACTACACTCCGATACGAGCGCTGTCGTCCGTTTGACTCCGTGCTCTCGCGGGCTTGTGCGTGAATGCAATTGCGCCCTTTCGTCAGCTCGGCGTCGACCTAATCGAAGTTGCCAGACATTTTCGGAGCCTCGGACGCCCTGCCCAACCCCCTTAGGGTTGGTATGCAAATGGTGTGACAGTTATAAACGAATTTCCAAGTTACAGCTGAAACTTCGGCGATTTCTGTTACAATCGCGTTGCCAAGTGAGTCACTGAACCATGAACGATTTTGAGTGGCGAATACGTTTATCCGATGATAAACATCGCGTAGAACACAATGCGCACATTAAAAACTCAATAACGTAGTTCAGGAACCGAGGAGTACGCGATTTAAAAAACGTAACTTTTTCGCAAATTTAAAACGCCCCGGTTTCGTGCCCATGTCGAAGAGTGTATATATGCAATTTTTATCCGAAATTTTCTGATTTTTGGATGAAATCAGAGGAAAAATCAGTGAGATTTTCAGTTAGAAACGCCCGAAATTATGCAGGTAAAAATGCAATTTGCGAGGAGATATTTGGAAACATTGAAAAGTAGTTACTTTCTATGAAAAAAGCGCGGAACGACGGTTTTTTCCCTTGTCACATTTCGGGTTACTGCATTGTTGTTGCTGCTGCTGCTGCTGTTTTTGATGCTGTAGTTTGTTGTTGTTGGTGCTGTTGTTGGTGTTTTTTCGTATACAGCATACATTTTCAATTCGTTTGTGTATGAATCCTTTTAACGTAAATACACGTCCTTTTTTACGCTGCCGGATAGATAATTACTTTAAAAAAATATTAATTACTACCACCCATTAATAGGTATTCATCACGATGGGGAATGCAGCAACAACGCCACCAAATTTAATTTTCATCCCATTTCCATTAAAGAGTTTTCACGGTTCAGGCTGAAAAATAATTGGATCAAAATCAAACGTCAAAAGTTCCGCCGGTGGAGAACATCTCCAAATAGTTGCTTTATTCTTAGAGCGTGTTCCTCGAGGCGGTGCATCAAATCGAGCCGTGAGACGTGCCCTATTTCCTTCCTATTCGAATTTCCGGAAATTCTCAATGCGTAAAATGGGGGTTCCTTTCCGCTTCACAGGTTTCTGTGAGAGCTATGAAAGAATTTTCGGAGGAAGAAGCAGAGTAGATGTTCACGGTTGGAACTTTCCTCGGGCGAGAAAGTTAAATCAATCGCCTAATTTTTTTTCTTCTTTTTTTGCGGAAGTTACAAGTTCGTAAATTCTGAAATCCGAGGGTTCAGCGTCCAAAGATCAATGCATTCTGGAAACTTTGAACTATTCATTCTCGGTTGGGTCAAATGCTTTCATCGTGAGTCCAAGTTATCAATGAAATGTATGCTGCATGTTGTTTAGTAAGTTAATATCTTCTGATACATATTTTTCCTTGAAATTTTCAGATATTTTAAGTTGAATTGCGAACAAAGTTGTCTGAAAAATATCGGAAAATATTCGCAATTTCCCCCAGGAAATTCACTTTTTGTTGAAGGAAATGTGGTAACGTCTGAAGGCTTATACGGCGTTCTACCTAGGCACGGTACACAGTGGATCGCGTCAGTAGGAGAGGTTGGACAAAATTTTGAAACTTCAAACGCTTATAACTCCGTTTATATAAACTTTTGTGGTTCCAAAGGTAGTTCCTTACATTTCCTTCTGGAATTGCCTTCATCCAGCACCCCTTGAAATTTAAAATGTGACGAAATATACAAAAAAATTCGCAGTTTTAGTCAAAAATGTCATGTCCGACCTCTTTAATCGACTCGATCCACTGTGCGGCAGTGTGTACCTCGTCTCTGTATGCACCTTTGTGAGCTTTTGTCTTGCTTCCAACATTGATGTTTGGTTACTAATCCTTTGTTTTCTTTATCGGGAACTACGTGATTGACTTACTTACTTTCTTTTTCGCCCGATGAATTTTTCGGTTGTCACTATTTAAACTCAAACGATGGCCATTTCTGGCGCGATACTACGTCGCGACGTAGTATCGCGACGCGTCGCCGGCGATAATATGTGGCATTTTTAACGTCAGTTTTTAGCTTCGGTTTTTGTTTTTATTTTCGTTGTTAGTTATTAATTACCTGATGATGGCTTCCACAGAAGCCGAAATGGCCATCGTATAAGTTTAAATAGTGACAACCGAAAAATTCATCGGGCGAAAAAGAAAGTAAGTAAGTCAATTGATGTTTGGGCTTTGTGTTGCAGGCGATCGCGCTGAGCCGGACGCGGGCGATGCAGCGGTACGGGGCGCGGCTGCTGCCGGCGGTGGTGCCGGGCTGCGAGCATCTGACGTTCGAGACGGACGCCTACTGGGCCTGCTTCGTGCGGGTCATCACGACGAACCTCCACCACCAGACGGGGACGTGCCGCATGGGCCCCAGCGCGGACCCGGGCAGCGTCGTCGACCCGGAGCTCCGCGTCAAAGGGGTGCGCGGTCTCCGCGTCGTCGACGCCGCCGTCATGCCCACCATCCCCAGCGGACACACCAACGCCGTCGTCTTCATGATCGGCGAGAAGGCTGCCGACATGATCAAGGCCGCCTGGAGCCACCCAACACGGGCTTACGGACCCTGGAGAAGGTAGAACTACCCTCATATAGAGTCCCTTTATACTGAGAGTCAAGACAACACCCCTCATGGAGTCACAAACGGGAATAAAGATTACACAAATTGAACGTTTTTTGTTGGTTTTTTGTAATCTTTGATCGGCCCATTCTCAAATTCCTCTCTCCGTTCCTTCTCTCATTCCGTTTGTTCCTTGCCGAACCCGTAATTCCCTGGTCCATTCCAGATTATAATCTTTGCAATCGGTGAAAATGTAATCTCTATTCCCGTTTGTGACACTGTGAAGGCCTAAAATACGGGAACCAATCAGAAATGGATTCACATTGTCTTGACTCTCAGTATAAAGGGACTCTACCCTCATACGGAGGGTAATAAAACCGTGCTGGGCACCAACTTTGCTTTAGCTTCCAGCGAATGTGGTGGAGCGCAGGAAAACATGTCGCCTAGTAGAGAAAGTTTGTGCGAAAGTACAAGAGGAATGTACTGAAGACAGTCGCCGGCTGTGCCCAAGTGTGGATTGGAAGGGTAAAGCAAAATCATCATCCACCGCATGTGCTGAGGTGCAGATCCTAGTGCTCAGAGCGGTTCTATTTTTCTCCGCACACTCAAGCTCGTGAAGACCAGGGTGGAAAAATTTCATGAAAAATAAATCTTGAAATTTCACGTGAAATATTTCATTAAATTTCAGAAAATGAAAGATATTGAAAAATACTGGTTCCTTTCTATGTTTCGTAGAATGTAAAAATTGTGACTTTCTTCTATTTTTGTGTGTTTGAGTGCGGGTTGCATACTCTGGCCTCTGAAAAATTTGAAATATTTCACAGCCTCGTGAAATTCCATGAAATATTTCACTGAAATTCCCAATCTTTCATTTCTCATACTTACGTTTCATGCCACCCTGGTAAAGACCCTTAATTGAGTGACAGGTAGAAATGTAGGCAGAAAATTGGTAGGTAATGCAGCCAGGCGCGATGGTATGGTAGTCAGACGCGAGCCGCTGCACAATGGATCGAGTCAATGGGGCAGGTTGGACAAAATTTGGAAACTCTAAACGCTCATAACTCCGTTTATACAAACCTTTGAGTTCTTATAATGGTTTCATTGGTTATAGGACATTTCGTCAACGATTTTTTGTTCGCGCACCTGTTTTTTCCAGTAATTTACGTCCACGCGTTTTTTTCGGCACGGGAATTTTGGTCCACGTGCCAGTTGAGACTCAAAGTTGATTGGCCCACATGTAAATACAAACGATAATTGCTCACGACGTTTTTGGATGAAAATATATAATGTCTTGGAAGAATGAGGGTTTGCTTGTTTTTTAGTTTTGTCTGTTTGGTCCAACGGAGAATAATATATAGTTGAGAGTTTTGGTAAAAATGGGGGAGCGTCAATTCCATGAGACAATATTCACTAAAACTCTCCACACCTCTTTGGTGTAACAGGACTTAATTATCTTTCAAGAAATTACCACCTTGTTATACCTGAACCGGATAAATCTCTATATTTGCCGCAGCTAAAGGCTCTTAGACTTCTCCTGTGTACGATAAGTATCTTGATTTATTTTGCAAGGAAAGATCTGTACTTTTAAAGGATGCCTGTCATTCTTCATACGTTCAATTTCGTGTGATACAGTGCAACACCTCTGTTGTGAAAAAATAGCTGCTTCAGGCGCCGCCGCACGGCGGGCGGGTCTTTGGCGCCTACAAACCTAAGTGGATACTTCCAGCATTGTGCAATGCGTGACGTATCCACTTAGGTTTGTAGGCGCCAGTGAGCCTCTCGCGCTGGCAACACGCTGCTCCGCTCTCTTAGGCTTTAATATTTATACTCGCATAGTCAGCGTTTTTTGACTCATGATTTTGAAATGTTAGCACTCTCTGCATTGATTATTCTCATTCAAATTGATGGGGAAAAAAATATGTCTCAATTTATCAGAGGAGAATAATAATTTAATGTGTGTTTTTTAAATATTGGTGGTTCCTTGTCAAATTTTATGATTTCCAAAGCACTTTAATTTTTTCTTTTACATTTTGTGCTTTTATTGTGCTGCAGCGAGGTGTACGCGCAACGAAACGCTCAAAATTTGACGTATTTGACTCTAAAAGATCGATGTACAAATGGGTTAAAACTAAAGATTGCGTGCTTCTTAGTTTTTTCCTCTTTTATTCATTTTTGCAGTTTCTGTCGGCAGAACTGCGGCTCATTGAGATTAATGTCGCTTGAAAAAGGTTTTACAAATATTTGTCACGTTTTAAAAATATAAATGTTTTCAAAATGAAGTAATAATTTTGTAAAGAAATAACATAAAAAAAAATAAAAAAAATTACCTATACATATATAAGGTATATTGTACATTCAATATTTTAAGGATGGAAATAAAACCAAATATTCACCAATGACAATTTAAATAGATGATTCAAAAGGAGAAAGTAATAACATTTCATTTAGAAAATGAGCAACCATAACAACACCTCCTTCTATCTCAATTTCTCATTTCCATATTGTCAATATAATTTTACATGCCGACTAAAATATAACGCTTGGACCATGTCACTGTTGCTTATTTTACGTGTGGGCGTAAACTACTGGACAAAAAAGGTGTGCGGACAAAAAATCGTTGACAAAATGTCCTGAAACCGTTTCATTGGTTTCCTCGTGAAATTTTCTATTAGAAGCATCCCTTTACGTTCAAAATGTGACGTAATAAACAACGAAATTTCCATTTTTTGTCAAAAATTTCGTGTCCAACCTCTCTGATTGACTCGATCCACTGTGCGCCGGCATCGAACCCGGATCGCACTAGAAATCGTCCATGCGCTACTCAAAAGTCACAACCTCTGGTCTCTCTAGGTAACTGAATTCATCGGTTTCAGAAACAAAAATAACCGAAGCATTCGATAAAAAGACAAGTTTATGTTTTCATGGTATGCTTTGTTTGATTGCTTACTATGCCCAATCCATTGAATTGTATATTTTGTAAATTTTGTAAATAAAACTTGTTTATATTAGTAGTTTATTAATGTTTCCTTTTATACATCCAACAGTTCTGCCTCGCATTCTATAGGGCAGCTAAAGTATCTGTAATTCGAGAAACATCTAGAGCAAATACTCGTAAACCTTCGGATGCTTTCCTTACGTACTCGAACCTGTTCATTTAAAAAAGACCCTTGTCTAAGAAAAAAAGTACAAAAAACAGGGAAAGTAATCAGGCTGGACACTAGAGTGTTCAAAAGTGAAAGCCCCCTCACTTCATTTTTTTCAGATTGCGTGTTTCTCTACACTGTCATAAAGGAACTATCTGACGATGGCACCAGATGTATAACTTTTTCCCTTAGAAATCCTTTTATATGCAGTTCATGATTCAGAATTGGGTCGTTTTTGAACTGACCAAATTACTCGACGAAATCTTGAAAGAAAAATTGCCTCGAAAGAAAAACATAAAACGCAGCGGGCATACGAGTAGTCTTCGACCAAGTCTGACTCTCGTGTTGGGTAGGTCGTGGTATACTTGTTAATTTCATTTTATTCTCAAAATCTGGGTTAATCGAGTCGCTCACTCCTCCAAATTTGTTTCGTTTTTTTGACCTTGTCGTCGCACCGCAACGGTCTGGCATTTGACTCCGCAAAACATAGGATTGCAGAAGAGTCAAAGATCAACCTCTACGGTGTTGCCAGAGCAGGCACTCGATGAGTTACAGGTCTTCAAGACAACTACTCACACTACTTAATTTAAGAGAACCTCATTTCGCCACACATCGATTGCTTTAGCACAAACAAGTCGTTAAAATTACTTTTCATTTGAATGGTCCTTATCCTACTGATTAGAGACAAATGCGAGCTGATTATTGAAATTAATAGACAAAACGATAGACAAAAAAAACATAGGGAGTACAGAGCGATCCTATTCGTCGAAAAAGGTGGTTGTTATAGACGAAGGGGGAAAAGATGGAATGACTAAAGAGTCGCTTGTGGGTTACCTTTAGTTAGTCTATTACCTACCTCCTTTTTCCATTGCAACCACCCGTTTCCACCAGTAGGATCCCTCCATACCCCTTTTGTCTTCTTTGTCTATAGCTTTGTCTATTAATTTGAATAATCGGCCCGGTGGACCGGAGATTGGAGCTAGAAGTACGAGTCACGGAATTTTTAGCGATCGATGAAGATCGGAAGCACAACACTTGCCCTTTAGTCTAAACTCATCGAGTAAAGTTGGTGTGGATTTGGATTGAAAACCCTCAAAATGAACTGTTGAGCGACGGCCAATGGTTTTCATTTCCAGCTCCGATTTTCAGAGTAAGAACTTGGCATAAGTCAAATACACTCGAGAGGAGAAATTTCAGTTTAAGACTATCTAGGAAACGCCGTTAGGGGGCTACCAAAGCTCCCCTTTAAAAAAAAAAACACTTTTATTACCACTAGCGACTAACGTGCTCACTTGCGTACAAATAATTTACATAAGAAATTTGTGATTTTTGTTAAAATTGTTAAATTCTGTAATTTTAATTTTAAATTATTTACGCAAAAGAGTACGTTAGTGTTTATTAAAATTTTTACGTTTTTAAAAATTAAAACATCTCCGCTACAAAAAAGCGAAATTCACACAAGTTTCGGTGCGGCTAGAATATCAAATTTTCCCTCATGTTGGCAGCGATAACGACCATTTTCAAAATTTTCGACCCGCCTCGTTTGTTTATGATCCGTAAGAGCCGCTTGAAAAGTCTAAAACTGGAGAAATAATCTAACAGAGGCACCAGACGTGCAGTGACGTGCCGCGATTTGCGATATATCGATTTATCTGCCATTTAAACCTAAGGAATAGGATCACTTAACAGGGTTTTGCAGCGAACACCTTAATGATCGATTCTTTACCATAGCTTCAAATGGGGAAGTATCGATAATCGATCATTCACGCCTCGCCACTGCAGACATGAAATTCTCGCCCCCTGTATGGGTATACTCAAATAAAACTAGCTCCAAAAGAGGAAAATTAGGAATATTAGAATGGCCTCCGTTTAGGGTCACTCGTGGTTGCTTGCACTTGGCACCATTCTGTGGAGGTTAAAAAAGCTT